TTCGAATCCCACGACGATATACACGATTGTTCGGGTTATTGCACAATTGGTTTTTGTGTGACGTTTGGCTAGGTTTAGATCTTTCCTTCCGCTGCATGAAACCTAGAAACCAAACCCTAGATCGATGAGATCGCATGCTAGGAACCCGAAGGGAACCCCAACACAAGACCCTTCTTGGTCAGCTCAGTCCGACTCGTCTTTTCTCGGTCCGTCTGACACACTGTCTGGTCAGCGGCTGACCAACTCTTGGTCAGCCGGACCAGGCTTGGACAGATGACCTCGGACCGAGCTTCCGGACCTCCTGGACTGACCAAACTTGGTCGGCGCTGACCAAACTTGGTCAGCTCCGGACCAACGCACTGAAAACTCCTTTTCATGCTCGTTTCGGTCAAATCTCGTTTCCATTCTTCGTATTCTTCACGTATAAGTCCATCCCTATCGGTGTGTGATCCTGTAGGCCCTCTGATTTGATCCGAAAACAGTTTTTCCGACCAAATCCAAGTCTTTCTTTCTGATTCTTCACGTATAAGTCCATCCCTATTGGTGTGTGACCCTGTAGGCCCATTCTAAGTGGTACTGACTTTAGGAACCTTTCCCGAACCACAAGTCATGCTTAGCCTCTAGCAAGGCGCCATGACCACCCACTTAGAATTGAGTTAGAGGTGATCTAACCAAGGAATTAACAGCTCGAATTCTGATCCTTTGTCTCACGATATCATATGTTGAACAAGGGCATGGTTTGAGCCATCCTTCAAGTTCAACCGCTTTCTCGTCTTGGTAAATTGACTAGTAAAATAGATGCAACTTCATCTATAGCGTGGCCACGCGTTTTCATAGTCCGATTTCCACGAGAGGGCCCAACGATATCTCTCCTGTTAAGGAGGTGACAAGTCCCATATTGCATGTCTACTATCTCCATATGATTCGTGAACGTATCTGATCAACGCCGTTATAATCATCCGCTTAAAGACGACGTTTGACGCAGTCAAGACACTCCACTCCTCATATCAGATACTCTAGATATCTCAGGTGTGAGGATTCATAAACGAACCGCTGTATGAGATTCAAGTCATGACTCTGTCTATGTGACAATCTCATGCGGGTCAACCAGTCACTCGTTCACAACGAGTACCCATGATTGTGATATGCATCGATCACACCTCATGCTAGTCTTAATTCATCATTGTTCCCACAATGATAACTGATCAGGGTGTTTAGAATCATTCTATAATGATTCAAGGATACCGAAATACAACAAACATGCTAATCGTATAACGGAAAAAATAATGCATTCATAAATCAATGAATCAGTACAAAGTAAAATGTCATATCATGGATCATCCTAGAGCATTACAACCAACAAGTTTGCCGATATCCTCGAAGCTCTCTCTCTTTCTACCTCAGCGTCAGGAAGCCTTTTGGCAGGCTACCGCATCTCGATCATACGAGAGTTGAACTGCAAAGGCGACTTGGATCCGCCACCCAGTGGCTCGATATTTTCACCAATTCCTTACCAGCTGCCTCCTCGCCCGAGCTGCCGGCGGCACGGTGAATCATCAGGAACTTGGTTTTCTTCGCTGGGCTTTGAGCGTTGCCTTCGACGGTGACACCTGGGGAATGCAGGAAGTATCCCTTGCTTCCTGTATGGCGATGCATCTCGAGACTTTCGCTCAACCAGGGAATCCGACCGACGTCAAGACTTGCGTCGGCGGCATCAACTCCATGATTGCTCGTCGCGTGGGCATTAATGTCGGACTCTATTCCGACGATGTGATCCCGGGCCACACTCTCCTGGATATTGCTGCGTTGGTCCAGAAATTTCACCTCTCCGAGCGACCGGTACACTGGGAATGGAATTATCTGGACCATCAAGGTAACCGCCAGTGCGTACGCCTGCCTTGTCCTCATCTACCACCGATCACTCCAGTCGGTCTCCTCTTCCGAGCCCCCTTTGACGATGTCCCCGCTAACGATGCTACCATGCCAGATGCTGACCAGCCCTCCTCTTCTCGGGCTCCTCAGTCCTACCCTCTTCCTTCAGAGGACTTCTCTTTCGACATGCCTCCCTCACCACCACCGGATCCGAGCTCCCACTCATTTCCCGACTACTCTGCCCAGATTGACATGCTCAGCCAGAGGATGCAGAGTATGGAGACGACCATGCACGGGTTCGGCGCTCAGCTCCAGTCTTTTGGAGATATGATACGGACGGAGTTCGACGCTCAGAGGCAGTTCCGCGAGCAGCAGCATCAGATGGCGCAGTACGCCACGGAGTTTCATCGCCGCTATGATACGAGGTATGCAGCCGACAGCGACGCCCCCTGATCCCTCTTTCATCTGGATACCCGTACTCGCCATATTATTATCAGCCAGGACCACCACCACCTCCTCCAGAGCAGTGAGCGTTTGTTAGTTCTTTTTCTTTCTTTTTTTTTCCTTTTCTTTTGCTTTTGCATTTTCGGTCTGTTTTATTTGGGATTATCAGTTGTACTTTTCAGACTTGACGATGTATCACTCGTGCTTGTTCTATTTGCTGCGTTGTTTTTGTTTGTGCTGTTGTTTTATGTGTTTCCAAGGTCGTACCACATTCCACACGTACGTTGAGAGCTAGAGACTTCGTCTGAGCCTTTTTCTTCGATCCTTGAGTACCGTGAGGGAGCACGCCATTCATTCACGCTAAGTATTCTTTTACTCCGCTCCCTTTTGGTTTCTCTCGCTGGTTTTCCTTTTTCCCAGGGCGACTTGACGCCGCGGACGGTGTCTCGTTCAAGTCTGGGGGAGGATAGTCTGACAACCTGTTTTTCCCATTTTGACAGTCCTTGATGCATTTTAGCACATCATCTAGTAAATCTTCATAGAAAAACTGCAGAAACCAGATTTCAGGTGATCAGTTAGAAGATTCATGAGCGATAGAGTAGAAATCTCTTGAGAGTATAGATGAACCTGGCTTAGTTATCTAAGCGCCCGAATGAATTGTCGGACCTATCCGAAAAGGTAGCTTGACCTGAGGAATGATCTATAGGTTATGAGATGAGTCGTTGCCTAGGATGAAAGAGGGAACGAAAGCTTTCTAATCCAAGCACATATGTTTCCCTAAAAAAACCGTTCCCCATTTGCAGGAATATTAGGCCCTATATAGTCTAGCGAGCCCTTTTTCTCAATCTATCTTTATTTCTTTTGACTCGTCTAGACACACAGGCAAGTAGTCCGGGGGTGGCAGCAACCATCACGAGGTGAAAGTAAGTCCTGTTTCCAAAACCCATACCCTGTTCTTCTGACTTGTCTAGACACACAGGCAAGTAGTCCAGGGGTGGCAGCAACCATCACGAGGCGAAAGTAAACCCTGTTTCTAAAACCCATACCCTGTTCTTACGTTCGTTTCTCTTGATCATATCATGCATTCTTCCAACGCGTATTTCGAAAAAAAAATTGAAAAAAAAGCTCGAATAAGAACGACAGAAGGCGAATGCATTTGATATTGATCTTTAGAATTCCGATTTTCCATCACCGTATTTAGACTCACTCCAAACCCAGGTGGACCGAATTATTCCTGTAGACAGCGATAAATAGGTTTGAGAAACGTGCTCAGTAGATAACTTGAAATCCCCTCTGCTTGCCATAGCCGCATTCGTGTAGCTCTATGATCGTTTTGTTGGAATGGAGATCTGAATAGGGTAAGCTTGATTTCATTCAAGGTTAGTCGATACAGGAGAGAAATTTCACTTTTGAAACTCATGGAGATTTCTGATTGATCACCTACTTGCTTCCCCCGCATGCGTTTTTCCGTCGTATATTTGCTCGAGACGAGCAAAAGTATGTCTGGGGGAGTTTGATAACACGATTTTCTCATCTATTTCAAAGCCCATGGTGTAGCACTTTTGTATCGGTTGTGTGCATCTTCTTGTGCATTCTCTGGTGATTGAACACGTAATGGACGCACTATGGACGTCAAAGGAGCATAATCGAGGACTTCGGAGCATACTGGACCGGAACAGAACGATTAAGGCATTTCCAGCTCGAGTTGCACTTGAACACGACCGTGTCGAGTTTAAACACAGCCGTGTAAAGGCAAGGAAACGAAGATATTCTTATAGACAATTGACACGGACCATGTCGAGTCAAACACGGCCATGTCGAGACGCAACTCGCCC